GTCCGTGATGCCGACAGCCAACAGGTCCGTGATGCCGACAGCCAACAGGTGTGTGATGCCGTGTCCAGTCAGTCCCAATTTCAGGCCACAGGCGAGGTCCATGAGGTGTGCCACAGCAAGCTACATGTTGCGTCCATCCAGGTGCGGTTTGATGCTGAGACACTTGAGTCCCTTGATTTTGGATGGCAAGTTAGTACGTCTGGGCACCTGGTGTGGAGAGGCCGCACAAGTAGGTTCGTGGATCCGAGTGCCATGGCACCGATCGGCTGGCCTCTCAGAAGCACTCTCATTTGCCGCAGTGGGACATGGTTTCTGCTTGAACACTGCGTGCCGTGGGCTGACTTGAAGGAGGTTGAAGCCGTTTTGCCCGGAGGTCAGGTTGCCGAGGTAATTTCATTTTTGCATGTGCAGGTTGAGCCAGTGTCTGAAATAGGTGTGCAGCTCCCTGCAGGCATGACCGAACCCCAAGGTTTGCCTGAGCCAGATTTTTATCATTTTCGAGCTGAGACTGAGCAAGCTCCTGTCGGGACAGTTGAGCATGACCGTGTGGTGCCCGAAGATGAGGCTATGCAAGGCCTAGAGGATGCAGCTGGACAATCGAGCCCAGCGCCAATGCCACTGCCCGACCAGTTGGAAGCTGGAGTGCCAGCCGGCGATGTCGAGCCGCTGAGTCTTGATGGTGTGCTCATTTCGCATGATTCCAGCCTCGCTGTTTTGAAAACTGCAGCAGCCAAGCTCAACCTCAGCACGGCCGGCTCCAAGTCCCGTCTCTTCACCCGAGTCAAGGGATATCTTGAGAAGCTTCGTTTGGCCTTAGAGTTGGAGCTTGCTGCCGATGCCCAGTCTTCAGGCGAGAGGCAACCAAGGGTTCAGCCGGTCGCAGCCGCCCCCACTGAGGCGGAACGATTCCTCCATGAGTGCACCCATCTGCCTTTCAAGCCGTGGTGCCCACACTGCATCAGCATGCGGGCGATGCCAGACCGGAGTGAGTACTTGAAGGAGGGCCCGCGTGACAACCCGATTGTCCAATTTGATTTTTCATTTTCAGGCTACAGCGTGCCGGACGGCATTTGCAACCTCGATGATGTTCCCGAGGACTCCCAGTGTGCACTCAAGTGTCTTGTGGCGCACGACAGCGCAACTGGAATGATCGCAGCGATTCCTTGCGAGTCCAAGGGTGATACTAGGTATTTAGGCATCGAGCTTATGAGGTTCATCCAGAGCCTCGGTCACACCACTGTGACTTTGAAGTGTGACAACGAGCCCTCCACTTTGACTCTTCAGCGTGCCATCGTCACGGCCCGGCAACGGCTCGGTTTGCAAACACTCGTGCAAAATCCTGCTATAGGTGCCAAAGGTTCCTTAGGCTTTTGTGAGAAGGCCATCGACTCAGTGCGGAAACTCGCAAACACCTTGCTTGATCAGGCGCGTCACCGCACCGGCCTTCCACTACCCACGACACATGTGTTGTTTGCGTGGGCGTTTGTGCACAGTGCCTGGCTGCTCAACAGATACAGAGTCATTGGCAACATGACAGCTTATGAAAGGGCCTGTGGGGCTAAGTACAGTGGGCGAATTGCACCCTTCGCCGAACCTGTCTATTGCCAGCTTGATGTTAAGCAGAAAGGCGACAAGCGGTGGATGCTTGGGATCCTGGTGAGCAAATCCTCGCTCAACGACATGTACATCATTGCTGGCAAGGATGGGATCCGCCTGTCACGATCCATCCGTCGTGTGGGTCAACCGTGGGAGCTTGAGGTTCAGCTCTATCGTGAGCTGAAAGGCTACCCTTGGGACTATGGGAGCGGTGTTATAGGGACCAAGTTTGTTGCAATGCCGAAGCAGCGAAATCCAGTTGTCGAACCGCTGCCTGATGCAGCACCGCCAAGGTCCCCTGATGAGGCCGCGAGCGAACCACCGACTCCTGCAGTTGAGGCACTAGGGATGCCGGTTACGCCATTGGGCGGGGCCGGAGCAATGGCGCCTCCAAGGCGCAATGTGCCTCCTCCTGAAAGTGCTCGAGCAATTCCAGATGAGAGCATGGCCGTTACAGAAGAGCTTCCTGGGCCGAATCCGTCTATGCGGCCCGATGCACCCAGTACTCCTGAAGCCGAGCTGCCACCGTTGAAGAAGCTGCGCATTCGTGCTGTTACCTTTGGTGAGCAGTCGTACGAGGTGAATGATGAAGGCGAGTTCGATTTGGATCAGCCCGATGGCTGGGAAGTTCAGGCCAAGCTTTGGTCTATGGAGCCCGAGATAGATGACAGTTTCACAAGTGAGTTCAAGGCCGATCCCGAAGAGGAGGTGGCCGAGGATGATGACAGACTGTGGTTTCCTGACAATGGAAAGGAACCAGAGCTCGATGATGCCATTTTGGCCGAGCTCGACGACCTCGCTGATCGAGTCGAGGTCAGCAGACTGCTGAAGAAATCTGTGCTGAGAGATGCTACGAGTGATGATGATTTGGCGTCGATGAAGAGCCTCACGACAAAGTTTGTCCGTACTTGGCGGCACAAGAAACGGAACGGGATTCCGTCATGGTACCGCCGATCCAGACTCTGTGCTCGAGAGTTTCGGTGGTTGGATGAGTCCAAGGAGGGGCTATTCAGCCCTGCGACGAGCACTGACATTGTGCGCCTCATCCCGGCGCAATGGCTGACCTGGAAGCAGACACGACCTTCGGAACAGTACGCCATCCTGGCGCTCGATGTGAAAGACGCGTACCTTGAGGTTCCGCAGCCGACTCCAGTGGTTTCTAAAGTGCAAGGTCGAGACCTCGTATTCATGCGTATGGTGCCGGGGCAACGCGAAGGATCGCAACAGTGGTTCTCCCACTTCTGCGAGTATCTCGGAGAGCACTTTGTGGTTGAAAAGTGCAAAGAGTGCCCTGCGGCAGTGCACGTCAGCAGCAAGCCAGGGTCCGATGGAGTTTGTGCAGACAAGGGTCCGGGCATGATTCATGTGGATGACTCTCTACTTCTTTTGCCGCTCCAGTGGGCCCGCGAGTGCTTTCTTCCAGTGATTGAGCAACGGTTTCAGATCACATATGAGCTTGCATATGAGGTGGGTCACTCCTTCAGTTTTCTCAAACGTGTGCATACGATTACAGACCAGGGTATCGTGATTCGACAGCCCTCTTCCTACATTGAGCAGATGAAGCAGACCATGAATGTCACGCAAAACAACAGACAACGAGTGCCATGTTGGAGTGAACTTCGTGCTAAGGACACCACCCGTGAGCTCAACCACAACGATGCAAGCAAATTCCGACAAGCAGTTGGGACCGCCTTGTACATTTCATGTGATCGGCCCGATGTTGGCTATGCTGTGCGCATGCTTGCAAGCTACATGGCGAGGCCGACGGAGCATGCAAAGGTTGGTTTGATCAAACTGATACAGTACCTCATCAACACAAGTGATTATGGGATCCTGATGAAGTTTGCAGCCCCTGGGACCAGAAAGCTGAACAGTCATGTGTATGATTCTGGTTGTACAGATGACTCCGAGCGTGCTGTGCTGGAAGTGTTTTCGGATGCTGACTGGTCGGGGTCGAAGAAGGATCGCCGTTCGTACGGCGGGGCGAGTTTCTGCGTGAATGGGCAGTACGTCCACTACATATGTAGATCCCAGAAGTGTATCAGTTTGAGTTCGATGGAAAGCGAATACTACAGTGCTGTGGGAAGCGCGTGCCAGGGATTGTTCATGAAGGCTGTGATCGAGTTTATGAGCCGGAGCCCCTGCGACCTGATCGTGTACGTTGACAATCAGTCTTGTAAAGCTTTCTGTTTGCGTCAGGGAGTCACAAAGGCTAGCAAGCATTTTGGGACTAAATGGGGGGTGAGTAAGGCTTCGAGTGCCTTCAAGGGGGGTGAACCAGTCGTTCGCCTTACCATCGACCAGCGGTCGAATGTTTTCTGTCAATGTGCCAGTGGCATCGTTTCTTCAGTGCCCGAAGATCGGGCCCGAACTGACCCCCCATTTTCCGCTAGGAGAAAAAAGAGAGAGTGCTTTGCAAAGGGTTCCTCTGCAGCGCAGTTAGGGTTTCCCAAACGCGCGCTAACGGAAGTTTCGTTGGAAAATAAGCATCCATCATGCGTGCGTGAATGGGTTTTATTTTCCGCCGAAAGTGTAGACAAAGTTTGTCGAAAAAGGAAAACAGTGTTTTCACTTGCGTGTGAGGGACACTAGACAAACTTTGCCGTGCAGCTTTCGGCTTGAAGTTGGATCTGTGATCCAAAAAATTTTTATCCCACCCACCACACCCTGTATAGTATGCGGGGTCTGGAACACCGCACAAGCAGCAGAGCTGCCAGGAGCAGCGCTCCTATGCTAACTCTAGCAGAGATGCGTCAGCACAAAGTGCGCTCTTTGTACATAGGCCGTGGGCCGTCAAGAATAGAGAGTAGCATCTGGTAGCTGCAGTGACCAGTAGGTCAAAGCATGTCTCACCTTAATCTCCCGTTGTACGGGTTGGTCCCTTGTAGGGGTCCAAAGGGGGGTGAACCAGTCGTTCGCCTTACCATCGACCAGCGGTCGAATGTTTTCTGTCAATGTGCCAGTGGCATCGTTGCTTCAGTGCCCGAAGATCGGGCCCGAACTGACCCCCCATTTTCCGCTAGGAGAAAAAAGAGAGAGTGCTTTGCAAAGGGTTCCTCTGCAGCGCAGTTAGGGTTTCCCAAACGCGCGCTAACGGAAGTTTCGTTGGAAAATAGGTTCTCGGCTGCACTCTGAGATCGAACTGCCACGATTTTTTGCACCTGCGTATGCAGTCGTCCCACTGAAACACCACAGCCAATTTGCCGTGGGATGGAGGGCGTGGCGGGCGGGATGCTTGAGCGGCGATCCACGTTTGCCTTCGAACCTACAGCAACAGGTTCTCGGCTGCACTCTGAGATCGAACTGCCACGATTTTTTGCACCTGCGTATGCAGTCGTCCCACTGAAACACCACAGCCAATTTGCCTCCACCACATCTTCCATCCATTGCAGAAAAGCGAAAGCCTATACCGCGGCAAAATGAGTATACCACAGCCCTGGCGGCGTTGAGCAAGATTGCAGCTTGATGGCGGCCTGGAGGATATCGTTAAAGCTGTCCAGGAGCGAGAAGACGCGGGAACGCGAGACCGGGTACAAGCGGTTCATGAACTGCAGAGAAGAAATTTCCTGGATGTATATCTCCATTGTCCTGCTGTTCAACCAACGGCCACGTCTTCTCACCAGCTCAGAATCCTCCGAAGTCTGAAGGAGCCATGTGGCCCCCCCTGCACGCAGTGAACCAAGGTCCAACTTGCGAGACCCCTGGTCCCGCCACCTGTCAGCACCGAGCTTGGCAATCAGCTGGTCAAAGCGGCTGCGCATGGTAGCCGGCGAATATGGCCAAAGCTTACAATGAGCACCCAGATGCCCAAAAGCCAAGGTAACAATAGCCAGCAGGTCTGGTTGATCGATCTTAGCCGACTGGTGCCGAGCCCCACGGAAACGAGTCTTGGGCTCGCCTATCGAAACCAGACCAAAGCAAATAGTACCTCGAACATCGGCCGGCAAAAGAAGGTCCTGTCGTCGAGCAGAAAACACTTCACCAATGCGCATAACAGCGCCCCAGGTAAGAGCCAGAACTCCTGCAACCCTCGGCCATCCCCACAACAGAGCCAGAGAGCAGGCCGCCGTCAAGAGCTGCCAGGGGAGAGCAACATGGTGAGAATGAGGCTCCTCCCGTAGCCATGCAAAAGCGAGGTCCCAAGCAGGCTGCAAAGACCTCCTCAGCCCGGGCTCCTTCCCGGTGACAGTGTTTATAACCTCAGAGTAGTGAGAATAAGGCCAGCCAGCATCGAAAAGCTGACGGCCGTAACAGACCAGCATCTGGTTGAGTCGCTTTGTGCTTCCCGGCTGTAGGTCACAGAGGTCCAGTAACTCAAAACCTTGTTCCAGAAGCCAGTCGGCGAATGCGGCGAGGAGCTTATCGCGCCGCTTCTGTGTAACCGGCTCAACCGGGCGGCCTTCAGGAAGCAGCACCACAGAACGGGCAGCAGAGCGCTTCTCGTCAGCAGCATTCCGCGGGCGAAGAACATGGCTCGGCACAGCTAGAACCCTGAAGAACAGAAACCCCCAAAGGAAAACCCTGAAAGAAGGACCCTCTCCAGGATAGCCAAGGGAAGAGTCGAAAAGGCGCGAAGAGGATCTGAGAGCACGCCAGCCCAAAGAAGGCCTGAAAGCAGGAGGGCAGCCACAAGTAAGGCAAACCAGCCTGGCCCAATTCGAGGCCCACCGACGAAGCTTGGGCATAGCAAGGCCCTCGTAGAGCTCATCATGGGAAAGCTTGCCCCAAAAGGAAGAAGCAAGGGGAGCAGGCAGATCCAAGTCGCGCGTGGGGCAATCACCCGGGTTAAGGCGAGTCGGCACAAAGTGGAAGGAAACCGTCAAGCCCGAAGCAAGGCACACAGCAGCAATCTTGCGGAGGACAGGCATCAAGCCAAAGGATGGGCTCCGACCCTTGGCGCAGGCGTTGAAAGCAACCGAGGAGTCAACCAGGACAACGACTCGCTGAGGGCCCCCAGGTGCAAGGGAACGAAGAAGTCGAAGAATCGAGGCCGTCTCCAGAATGTTGATGTGAGTGGGGGAGCGCCAAGTCCAAGCGGAGCCCTCCTCCCATGACAATGAAAGAACAATGTCATTCAGGACGGGGTTCTCGAGCCCATCGGTCGACAGTCGAAGGTGCGAGTCGACGTGAGACACCCGACGCAGGGCGTGGTCAAACTCAGTGGCTAAAGCTTTGGCAAAAGAAGCGGGGAATGAAAAGTCCAAGCCGCTGCGAAGCGAAGTCTTTACAGCCGAGGCGCAAAGGCGGCAAGGAACCAGAAGAGAAGAAAGATCAATGCCAAAAACAAGGAACTTGCAATCCTTGCAGCATGTGCCCAAAAACGGGCCGAGGCACAAAGAGAGCTCGGTAGCCCCCATGCACAAAAGGCGGCGCCACTCAGGCCAACAGGTAAGGTAGGAGCTGCCAGGGTGTCCAAGGACACAGACGACACCACACGAGAGGGCCGAGAAGAAGGCCGCAAGGAACCGCGAAGCCAGGAGGTTGGCACGAAGGGTGCGCGAGCTAGGCGGTAGGCGTCCCTTGGGGAAATCACGTGAACGCTTCGAAGGCCAGCCGGAAGTCAAGAAAGTGGTGGTCGGAGGCAGGAGCAACAGAGACCGCAGCCGCCTATGCTGGATCAAGAAAAGAAGCCACTCGAAAGTGCGCAGGTTCGCCAAATCATAGGCAGAGCTGTTGCAAGGAGCCAGGTAGGGACCGACCGAGCGACCCAATCCCGTCAGTACAGAACTAACTTGACCACAGCCCACACCGGCCTCGAGGAAGTCAAAGAAGTAGGCCAGGGGGCGCGAAAGTGAAGCGCCAGAAGGCCCGGCCTGCATGCGAAGATCATAGGGCTCCCTGTCCGTGAACCTGGCAAGCACGGCCTCCTCCTTGGAGAAGAGCCGACTATAACCCCCCTTCTTTGAAGCAGTGCGCCACAGAGGGCGCAAAAGCGAAGCATCCGCCCTGGCCTTTACATAACCGCCCTTACGCTCAGAAGCGTCCGTGGCATACAGCCAATCACCAAAAGGAGCAGAGAGGTCAGCAGCCGCCAGCAAAGACAAAACGCTCAGAAGAACGAGTTCCTGAGAGGCGGCACGGGGCAGAAGGCAAAGCCGAGGCAGGCTGGCATTAACGGTAGCGCCGGGGGCAACAGCGTAAGCCGAAGAAAGCACAGCCATAAGCGGCCTTCTGAACAAAGCGACCGAGGTCCAGCTGCCGATAAGGGAAAGCAGCAAACTGTCAGTGATGCTCCCAAACCTCGCTGCCTCAAGTGTGACCATGGCAAGAGCAACCCTTTTATCCGAAGGGGCGGAGACAGTAATCAGGCCGAGGCTGCGAGCGTAGGCCGTGGAGTTCACCTGGGCCCCAGCTATTTTGGCAAAGGGCTCGGCAAGGATGTCCTTATCATCAGAGCCAAGCAAGCCCTCATCCCGATAGATCTTCTTGGCGGCCCAGAGGTGGCTCAAACAGAGCGGGGGCGACCGCGAGGTCAGGTCGTGGACGCACACCGAAAAATAATCATCGATAACCAAGCCCTCTGCGGCCGAAAGGCCCTTGAAAGGCCGATTGGCACAGAGTCTTTGGTGTTCGGCAAGCAACCCACCGGCGGAAAGCACAGAGGAGTGACAGGCTGTCCCAAACTCCACTCCAAGGTGGTCGCCCTGAGCGACAGCGCCGAAGCAGATCAGAAAATGGGAGGGATCGAAAAGCAGGCTGGGCCTCTGACCCGAAAGTGCAAAAGAAGATCCACCCAACCACTCGGCAGGAGGCCGGAGCAGGTTCCGAAAAGCCTTAAGGTGCTGAACCTGGGCCCGTGGCAGGGCCGGGCCGAGCGCATTGCAAACCGCTTTGTTCTCGCCGGCCTGCAACTGATGATAAAAATCCTTTCTGTCAGTGGCCGCGCAAAGGACCGACTGCTTGCCAGGATTGGCCTCGAGCATCCCAAGCATCGGCCCCACTGGGATAAAGAGGCTCGGACCAGGGAGCCTGGCCTCGGCGGCGTTTTGCCCACGGCGATCAATGATCATGCGGTCTTTGTCGACGGTCTTGTAACAGTTGAACGCTCGAGCCAGACGATAGCTCTCCGAACAGGAGATGGAGGCAGGAACGAGACGAAGGAGCCCAAGCTCGTCCCAAAGCGAAGCAAGAGAGGCGGTTTGGGCAGGGCTCTCGCGGGTCCACACAGGAAGGAATTCATCACCAGGCGGCGCGCCGTGATGCAGCGAGCGAGGCTCCGCATAAGCCATATAGAGCTCATCAGGAAGATGCGGAAGCGGATCCCAGGCGCCACGGCCCGAGAGGCGCAGCCTCGAAACATCAAGAGACTTGAAAGGATCAAGCCCGGGACGCAGTTCGTTGTGCATAGGGACGGCAGTGCCTGAAAGATCAGCATAAGCATCCCCCGTGGCGGCCGAGGAGGCCGACAAGAAAGCCAAAAGCTCAGAAAGTCGTGCAATCAATTGGGGATTGCGGCGGCCAGAATCAGAGAGGCTAAACTCCCCGACCGAGGCACCGAACGCCTTCAAATGGCGACCAACATGCGCAACGAGGCTTCGCTGTGCAGCATTGTGTGGCCGCTGGAGCGCAGAAAGGGGGATTGGCACAAAGTTCGAATGCAAGAAATTCAAAGCCATGCAAACGATGTGCAGGAGGCGCCTGTGCATGACGCGCCGCCTAAAGCGAGAGCTGCACTCCAAAGGGAAGCGGGCAAAAGCCCCATCACAAGGAAGAGGCAACGGGAACAATGCCCCAGAAGGCGGTGCAGGCCGATCAAGCCTGGGCAGGTGCAAAGTAGCAGAAAGAAAAGAGGCAAAGGTGGTCCTGGTTCGGAGGATTGCTCTAAGAAGCCCAGAAACCCAGGAAGGGAAGTTAACCCTAGTGTCAAACCCCAGCACCCGAACAGGAGTCGCGAGGCCAGGCGGGAGCCGAGAGCAGAAGTTCACTTTGCCCCGTCGGGTTTTGCCTTCCTGGGGTAACGCCGTGGCCCCTTTGGCTTGGGAGTCTCCTCGGCCTGAGGCGTTGCGGCCGTGCTGGGCTGAGGCGGCTTTGGGGTCCCAGAGCCTATGGTCTCGAGCCGCCGCGTGACTATGAGGTCGACCTCCTTCAGGTACTGGAGGGCACAGGTTGTCCAGCCCACAGGTGAGAGCGGAGAAAACGCACGGGTGCGCGGGTTCGCGCTCACACCACGCCCATGAAAGAGCTGAGCAGGTGGCTCCTCCAGAAGCGTCAGCAGCCAAGCAAAGTCCCAGCGGCCCCCGTCCAGCGAAGACTGGTCCAGCGCCACAAAAGTCAGGGCTAGGAACTCCTGAGCCCCAGTGACGTCCTGTTGGATCAAACAGTCCATCACGTGAGCCAGGCACCACATGATGTAGCCAGTCTCCCGGTGACCTGCGTAGCCACCGAACCTCTCGAGGTATTGGCACATCGACACCTGACCCGAGCAATCGGCGATGGAAGTCGGGGATGGCTGTGAAGGATGAAGCCTTTTGGAGGCAGCTTGCACCACAGAGAGGAAGAAGTCGCCCGACCGGTTGGCCAGGAGTCCTTGAAGCTTCTCCCGGCGGGCTGCGCCCTTGGAACCCACATAACCTGCCGAACTCGAGGAAGCCAGATCGCTCAGGCCGCCGTCCTGCTGAGAAACAAGGTGGTTCACAAGGCTGGTCAGAGCCTGACTCTGCTGAAGAAGGGCCGCTTGCAGAGGCTCCCGGGCAGGGTCGAGAGTTGTGTCTCCATCGAGGGCCCCGGCAGCATCCAGAGGGGCCGGCGCCGCCTCCCCAGCGGGAGGTCGCGTCCTGGGCGGCGGGCCCACCAACGAAGCCTGCTTGGCCAGAGGTAATCCTGGGCCCCTGCTCGGAAGGAAGGGCTGCTGATGAGCGGGCTTCGGTTGAAGTGGAAGGGTCGGCTGGGCAGGACCCGCGGCAACCTGTTTCTCCAAAGTCTCCTGTCGCTCCTTCATTGCAGTGATCTGCTCGGTAAGGGAAGGAAGCATGGAGACAAGTTGGGTCATCTGCTGGGCCAGGTCGGCCGTCGTGACCCTCTTTTTGGCAGCGGTGGCCTTCTTCCCCTTTGGGGCCTTCGGGCCGGGAGGCTCGGCAGGCATTGGCTCGGCATCCTCGAGGGCCGAGTAGAAGGCGATCCTCTCCGCAGGGGATTCCCTCACCCAAGAGCGGGCTGCAGTCAGAAGCTCGTCTCCCAAAGGCGTGGCGTCCGGCTGGTGAAGAATATAAGGGAACACCCCTTCGGCAACCAGATCTTCCCCCAAATCCCGGAGAAACTCCAGCACTGCCGAAGAAAAGTCGACAAGCAGCACCGGCTGCTCGAGGTCGATTGGCACCTCCAGTCCCTGCTCGTCCGTGTTGCCAAAAGGAAGGGTCACCTGGCGGGAAGGCCCAAGAAGGGCGTCGTCCTCCGCAGTCTGTCCTGCGTCCAGCGCCGACAGAGACAAAAACCCGCAAGGAATGCAAAGGAGAACGCTCGAGCCGCTCTTGAGGACCGGAATCGCGAGAGCCTCGCTCACCGGGGCAGTTCGTTCTCCCTCCGGCCAAGCCAGTGCCAAAAACTTCAGGGCACCCTCCGACAGCACTTCCAGTGAAGCCAAGTCGGTCATTGCTCCGGTGGGAAGGCGACCTGGGCAGCTTCGCAGAAGACCTCGGCCTCAGCCAAGGAGGCAAATCCGTGGCAAATGGTGCTCGACCCCTCAAGGGTTCCAACGGCCTGCTTGAAAGCCCGGGCAGACGCAAAACGGGTGGGGCAAGACAGCCCGTCACAGCGCAGCACAACGTAAAGCCTGGGTCGAAGCGAAGAAGGCAGCTTGGCAGAGGGGCGCGGAGTCGGCACCAAGTCGTCGAGACAGTGACGAGCCCAAAGTCCAGCAATCCAAGCACGGGAGGCTCGGGCCTCAGGAGAAGAGCCTGAGCCAGTAAGGGCACGGCAAGCCCTAACACAATGGGCAGGCACAGGAGGAAAGCTGCCCTGCAACTCGTTGTACCTGGCGGAGAGGTCCGAGGCACTGAGGGAGGAATGATGCAAAGGGCCAGGGCCCGGAGCCACACGGGAACCAGGCTCGACGGGAGAGTCGGGGCCTACAACCAACCAACTATCACTAGAACCCCTAGGGCTAGAGGTAGAGGGCCGGATGGCAAGGGAGAGCTGGGACAAGGAGTCCGCAAGGTTGTTGATAGCCTCGGCCAGCTGAGGCTCACTCATGCACGTAGGCCCGAAGCCGAAGTCCAGGTGGCCGGGGAGCCGGTGAAGCTTTGGCAGGAGGAAAAGAGGCAACAGTGGGCACCTGGAGAGGAATCCTGAAAAGGTTATCCCTGAAGAAAACCAAAGTCAGAACAACCCCCAAGGAGAATCCACAGCCGAAGCAAAGCACGAGAACCAACAGGGAACCCTGACAGTGCGACGGACACCCAAGACCCCACCAGTTCGAACTCACTCCGGCCTGTACGAGACCGAGCACTTGCTCGAACCACATGCTTGAGCGGCGATCCACGTTTGCCTTCGAACCTACAGCAACAAGTACAGTGTACTTTGTTGCCATGTCGTATGCCTTTAGGGATCCTTGACTTAGTGCTTTTGTTCCACTGTAGCATACGCGTTGCTGAGCTTTCGGGGCGGACGTGTATGGTGCACTCGCTCTTGTGCTACGGCACGGGGTGCCCTTCGCATCTGAAAGATGCCTTGCGCATAACAATTACCATGCGCATGCTGGGCCTACGCTAGGCGTTCTACTCAAGACTGAGCGCTGCGAGAGAAGGAAGCTTGGCTAACTTGTCGTGCACGTGTGCGGAAACCATCGACCCGCATTCAGTGAACATCATTGTTGCCGGGATCTTGAAGCGGTGCAGGTCGCTACGGAAGTCCGGGAGGGACGCACGCTTGCTCCTTCGTACAATAGATCTACGAAAAGCCTATAAGCAACTTCCTTTGTCGGAGCGTGCCTTGGGGGATGCTTATATATGTGTGCTTAACCCGAATACGGGTGAGCCTGAGCTCTACCAGAGCCACCTTCATAGCCAAACACCTATTAATAAACAGGCGTTTGGGAATCACAGGCGGGGGACACCAATCACATGCGCAGCTGATAATTCACATGCGTCCATAGTTTTCTGTCCACGGCACTTTTGGGATCAAAGTGATGCGACTGCGCCCTGGTTGAGAGATAATCGTAAGGCTCGTGGGTTAAGAGGATATAGCTTCAGCAGCACAAGGTAGATCCGCCGGAAATTTGAAACAAAGCTCAGTAAGCCGGACCCCCGAAAGACAGGAACCCTGCAAAAACCTGAAAAGCTCCATTTCCGCATCTCTCGGCTGCGACTTCTTCGATGCCCTGCGGAGAGGACTGCACCTGGGAGCTTCGAAAATGGGGTTCAATTGGAGCGATCAACTATTGTGGGCTGTACCGTGGTATGAATTTAAGTGTTCTTTTTGGGAATCTCAGCCGTCCTATTTTAAGCCAGTGCTGCAGAGCCACGTGAAACGAGCCTCAATCCAGCCACGACAGATCCAACAAGCTCAACTCCTCGTTGTCGAGAGCTGCCTTAACCATAAGATCGTAACGCTGCAGCGTTTTCTTCGTGACGGCCTTGGGGTTCACTCGTCTGCTTGCACGAGCGACTTGGCCCACAAAGTCTTCAGACATGAACGTTGCTTCTGCAACAGGGTTGACAGCAGTCCCAGCTGTCAACCACTGCTCCATCACTGTCAGTATGATGTGGTTCAAGTAGTGGATTTTGGGCTTGAGCTTGTAGAGGCATAAGCCCTTGCCGTGGCAGAAAGATGCTAGGCGTTGGTATCCCAGCAAAAACTGGTGACCAGACTCCAGAATCCTTTCACAATCGCCAGGGATCTCAGCAGACAAGCCTGCGCCATCTGCGATCCCTTTTTCATAAAAGGACCGCGAGCTTGAAGCGAGCATTTTCAAACTTGGTTTCAAAAACTTGGCATGGCTTGTTTTTGCACGTGACAATTTTTGCATTGCCTTCTGCGCATCGCCTCTTTTGGTCTTGATGACACAACCTTGACATGCGGCAGCTCAGTGCTCGAGCTGAGTTGTGAAAGAATTTTCTGTGTGGGCTCTCTAGAGACTTGTACTTCTGTCTAACAGGCCCGAGCCCTCCGTATTTCGGTGTTGCTCTTAGAGCACCGTGCAAGAGCCCCGCCGGGGCTTGGATGGACCCTGGCGCGACCTTTGAGGCCGCGTCGTCCTCGGGCGACACTCAGGAGGCCATTTCGGCCCACTTGCACGAACTCCAGCTTGCGGTTACCTCTCTAGAACAGCAGGTTGCTTCGCTGCGTTCAGAGCTTCAGGAAGTGCGCCAACAGACTGTTAATCTTGAGGCCGAAAGGTACCAGCACTCCCTTCGCTTGGGCTGGTTGGAGCAACTAGTGCAGCGAATCGCCCGTGCTTTCCGCTTTGAGTGACCTGCTTCATTCTGCCTCCAGCTCCATGCCCCCTGCATCTTCTGAAGGTGGGGTTTCTGAGGCAGGTGACAGTCGCCGGAGGGATGCCGCCATGGCCTTTGGGTCGTACGAGGCGCATTTGGCGTCTTGCATGCGCAAGTTCAATAAGACTGGGTTTGTCCGATCCTGGGATTTTAAGCTTAAGCCTTCTGCCAATTTGTTTGCCGGTACGGCACGTGCCAGCGGGCCCATGCCGCCTGTCATGTCCGTGCCAGTGCCCAAGATGGTGTCTTCCCAGGTTACCGTTGCTTCTGTTGTCAAGCTTGCCCTGGGCAGGGTCAGGCTGCAGGATTCTTGGAGTGTGCACCTTGACAAGAAGCTGCGTGCTGCCATTCAGAAGTGGGTGTCTATCGTCCTTGAGGATCCACTCACCTTCGATGTTGGCCGCAGGTGTGCTGCCGCGTCCTGCCGGGACTCCGCAGTCTCGCAAGGTTTGCTGCACACCTTTTCGGGCAAAGCTGCGGGTACACTGCACAATCGTGCGGGGCCTTTGCTCCGTTTTGTGGCGTGGGCCAAGAAGCGGCGTCTCCAGCCGCTGCCACTGAGAGAGAAAGATGTGTATGAGTTCCTGCTTGATTTGGAGGATTCCAGCGCGCCGTCTTTCGGCAAGGCACTCATGTCCTCGTTGGCGTTTTGCAAGTTCGTTTTGGGTGCTGAGTCTTTCTCTGACTCCCTATGCAGTGGCCACCTTACAGGGCTTGCGCGTGCCTCTTTTCTTAAAAAGAGGAAGAGGCGACAGAAGCCGCCACTCACCGTTGCTATGGTCAAGAGATTGGAGCGCCTTGTTGTGGATGAGTCAGATAATGATGTTGACAGGCTGTGTGCAGGCTTTTTCTTACTCTGCATTTATCTTCGTGCTAGATACAGCGATGGCCAGGCTTTGATGAATCTGGTTTTGGATGAGCCGGACTCTTTCATGGGACCACTTGCAGGGTACTTCCAAGGTGAGACTTCAAGGACGAAGACCAGTTTCTCCTTGGAGAGGAAAACAGCATTGCTTCCTATGGTGGGGCCATTGTGCGGGGTGGCGTCCTTGCCTTGGTTCAGGACGTGGATGAGCCTTCGTGAGGACCTCGCCATTCCTGAGGGGGAAGATTTTCCTCTCTTGCCAAGCCGTGGTCAGGAGGGCGGATGGTCGGGTGTTCCGCCCACGGCCACTGTAGCAGCTGGTTGGTTGCGCGGGATTTTGTCTGCCAGAGGTTTCCCTGAAGCCTCAAAGCTTGGTACTCACAGCTGTAAGGCTACGACTTTGTCTTGGATGTCAAAGTATGGTGTTGACGCGCTGCACCGGAGGATTTTGGGGTATCACAAGGCTCCGCAGGATGAGATGATGCACATCTATGGGCGTGACAATGTTGCGCCTGCTCTGAGGTCTCTTGAGTACGTGCTCGCCGATATAAGGATCGGCAAGTTCCTCCCGGACACCACGCGTTCGGGCTATTTCCCAACTGATCCTGAGCGCGAACCAGGTCCGGAGTTCAATGATGAACCGTCGGCCTCGGAGGCGTCATTGGACGAAGAGGACAACGTTCAGGACCTTCGTGCGGAAGAGGCTGCGGCTGATGAGATCATTCCGCCTTGGGCCGAGTTAGCTGTGGGAGACCCTGATGCCCATGTGTACATCAGGCACATTACTTCCCGAAAGCTTCACCGTCTCGCTGATGAGGGCGGGAATCGGCTTCGCTGTGGGAAGAGGTGCTCGAAGAAGTTCGAGCGTCTTGCTGAGAGGCCTAGGTTTATGGCGGACATGTGCCAAAACTGTTTCAAGTGATGTGCGCACTTGTGGAAGACGGTACACGCGGTGCTCACCGGACTCACTCGGTGATGGTTTGATGTGCTTGCGCACTTGTGGATTGCCGGACTTCTCGGCTTGGATTTGGATGAGCTGGACCCACGCGGCTCAATTGTCTGACCCTTGCGGGTTTCACGATGTGCGTGAGTGCGTGATGCCACCGGTCCACGCGGTGGCACATGTACGAATTTCGGGCACTGGCCTGGTTTTGATGTGGCACCGACTTACTTGTCTGGTGTCATGCGAGTTTTTAGAACGTGCTGAACACGAGTGTCGTGTGAAATACTTGCCGGGCGCCGTCAAGTATGTGTGATCGTGCTGAACTTGTGTCCGAAAGTCAGCGGTTTGCAAGTGCATTTGTCGTTTGCGGTGAGTGTGCACTTTGGCTGAAGACTCCATAGTGCCTTGACAGGTTTTTGTGCCATGGCCGTCACAGAGAGCAAAGCAAACTTCTCTTCGAGGGCGAAGGCTCTTGGATTGGAGGATCCAGTGCTGGTGAAGTTCATTGACGCTGGCATTGATTGCATGAGCAAGTATGCTTTCTTGAGCTCATACGTGCCCGGGAGCACGGATGAGAGCCCATTCACTGCTGCCATCGTTAAGGTGCTTGGGCGTGACCCTTCGATTGCGGAGCTCAGTGTGCTTCGCCGCTTGCTGCATGAAAGCTACAACCTAACTGTGTCTGAATTACAATCACAGGTTGAAAGGACCGATGACTCTGCTCCGAGAAAGCTCGCAGCGCCCGACCGGGCCGACAGGTTGCAGCGACAGCAGGTTCGGCTGAGTGGTTTGACGATCCACGGCCCGACTCTTCCGGGTCATGCCGTGATCGATAAGTGCGTTCAGATGTATGAAGACAACGTGCTTCATTACTTGCCGCCTCAGTCGTGCCCTTGCCGTGATGATGAGGTCAAGTTCAAGAAGGATCGCGATGATAAGATGTTGGTCG